GAGGCTCTGAGGCCCCAGGGACCCTACAAAAGTTCCCTTTTACTTGTTCCTAGTTGCTGAGACACCAGAGTGGGCGGCCCCCTTTTTCCTGTTTCCCTCGCCAGTGCAGCTGTGACCTGAGGGCTGCAGAGAATCTACTGGGATGAGATACCCTCCCTCGGGTCCCACGTCCCTCCCTGGTCCAGGATTCGCATGCTCAGAGGTGGCCCATCTCCTGACAGCTGTGTCTTCCACCAGCACAGTTAATTTTCCGCTGTTCAGAAAAGTGACAGCAACTTGAAGCAAAGCAATTGGGATGTAAAAGAGCCCCAGCTGCTTGGAGCCAAAGGAAAATAAACAGCCGGGGCCTATGTATACTCCACTGCCAAGAGCAGCCATTCTTCATGGGCTGATTAGCACTGCCGGCCCCAGCCTGGTCCCCTGCCTGGAGGGGAGAGATGAGACCCAGGAACGCTGCTGCCCTCAGACCCACTCTCCCCAGCCGTGCTGCGGACTTGACAGAGTCTTCCTGGCCACCTGCCCATGCCCGGGGCCCTACAGAAGCGATGCCCTCCCCTCTGAGACCTGAGCTTGCCCTCTGCCTCCCTGAGGGTTCCCCTGATTGACTGATCAGTGAGATCATTCAGTCTTTCAGCAGATATCCAGTGAGCACCATTCATTCATTCCACAGGTGTTTACGAAGCCCCTGCTATGTTCCAGTCACTGTTCTAGGTCCTGCTTGAACTGGGGGTTTAACTTAGTAGAGGGATGTCTCAGTCTGCTGGAGGGGGCCCTGGGTTCAGTTCCCTAAAACTGAAAAGCAACCCCTGCCCTGAAAAAACCCCTTCTGCCCTTAGGAAGTTCAAATTTTAGTAGGAGGAGAAAGACAGTGAGTAAAGGTAAATGGAGCACAAAAAATGATGCTCAAGTGTTTTGGAGAGAAATAAACAGGAACAGGAAGTAGGGAAGGCAGAGAAAGAGGAGGCAGACTTTAAGGTCAGGAATGGCCTCAGAATGACAGTGACATCTGAGCAAAGACCTGCAGGGGTGGAAGGGAGGGAGGTGAAGCCCGGCAGAGGGACAAGGATCAAGTACCCAGTGCTGGGGGTGGGTCTGGGGTGTCCGAAGAAGGATGGAAATGAGGTGGTGATCCTGAGCAAAATCCTCTGGGTTTTGCTCCAATGGGTGAAGAGCCACCCAAGGGCTCTGAGGGCAGGAGTGACATGTCCCGTTGCCATACCAGCAGGCCAGAGTGGCAAACAAGGCCACAGCCTCCCAAGGAGGGAGGCGGGGTGTGGGAAGGCCTGACCTCTCCTGCCCTGGTCCCTCGAGCTACATAAACACTTGGAGGGCCAGGAGGGCATGGGTGCCAGACACCCAGAGCCAAAGTCCAGGGGAAAGCTTGTGGACAGCTGTGCAGAGCTGCAGACAGTGTCTGTAGGGTGTGCTGAAGTGTTCCCTGCTGCTTCGAGCACTGGGGGTTAGGGGGTTGGATAAAGACCAATTTCAGCTGGGTGTGGTGGCGCATGCCTGTAATCCCAGCACTTGGGAGGCTGAGGCAGGAGGATCACTGCAAGTTTGAGACCAGCCTGAAAAGCATAGTAAGACCTTGTCCCAAAAAGACAAAAAACAAAACAAAACAACCAAAAAACCCGAGCAGAGTCAGGCTCTGGCCTCTGATAGATTCCAGCCCTCGCCCCCTGGACTCAGGTGTCTCTGTAATGGGCCCTCTTTGCACCTGCTTTGTAACCGGAACACCCTGCAGTGGTTGAGAGGCCAGGGGACGAGGTGTGAGGCCCCTACTCCTGCCCCTCCACTTAACAGATCCTGGGCTTCAGGAGGGCAGCATCTGCCTCCTGCTGTCGTCCTCACCTGCAAACCAGGCAGGGTGCCTGCCCCAGGGGCCACCCTGGCTAAGGGTGGGGCACAGTGGATACACTCACACAGTTTTAACCTTGCGGACCCTGGGGCCAGAGGAGCAGATAGAGTGGCATAAAAGCCTCACCCACAGTTCTTGAGAGGAAATGGGAGCTGTGAAAATGCAAAGCCCCAGGCGTGTACATTGTCAGGAGAGGCCCATGAGGTTCCAGCTAGAGCCCGGGGCGTGAGAATGCAGGAGAGGGAGGGGAAGGGGTTGGCCCCGGGGAGCAGATGAAGCCCCCAAAGCGGTGGGCACAGAGAGTAGGGTGAGAGGGGGCGGATGCCAAGGGGCCCATCTGAAAAAGTCTGTCCATTTCACAATGCCAGTCCAGCAAATGCAGCACGAACAAGCCTGTTGCCCGGGTTCAAAGCTGCGCGCTGCCCCTTCAGGTCATGTGACTTCTGAGTTTTTTTTTTCCTCCCTTAAAAGGAGGCCCAGAGCTGCTGCTGAGCTACCTATCATTTATAATCCCTAAAACCTTGCCTAGGATGTTAGCACATGCCTGTAATCCCAGCTCTCAGGAGGCTGAGGCAGGAGGATTACCATGAGTTCAAAGCCAGCCCAGACTACAGAATGCGACCCTGTCTCAAAAAACCAAAACAAACAAAAAATCTTAAAAGCTCCAGTCAGTCCACTGTGGGAAATAGTTCTCTCCATGTGAATACTGTGCTGTTGTGATTCTGTACCAAAGACATCTCAGAGGGCCAGGACTTTAGCCAGCACCTGCTTGGCATGAGGTCCCGAGTTCAGTTCCTGGTACTGCCCCCCCCCCCAAAGACATCTTAGAATGCTGCTCACGGCAGAGGAACCACCAAATAGCAGGCGGCTATTCTGTGGGTGGGAGAACCTAAGGCGATGGGTCCCAGGGTCACACATTTCACATGTCCAGTACTGGTCAGGAGGCAAGAGCAAGAAGTGCTCTGTGCTGTTAAGAAAAACTCTCCTGACAGCTCTCTGGGAGGCTGAGGCAGAAAGATTGCAAGTTTGAGCCCCGCCTGGGCAATTTAATGACGTAGCACGATTTTGTCTCAAAAATGTGCTGGGCATGGGGCTCTTGCTTAGAGGGAGAGGGAGAGAAGGAAGGGAGGGAGGGAAAGAAGGGAGAGGAAGGGGAGGGGAGGGCTGTGGGAGTAGGGCAAAAGGACCACAGGTCTTTTCAGCATCCCTGGGGCCAGCTTGAGCATCAAAGTTATTTGATTACTAAGAGGCACGTACCTTTGTCCTTATAGCTCGGATACAAGAAGTCTTTTGTTCAGGGCTCAGATTTCAAAAAGTCCTATGCTACCCTGCAGGTGCATATGCCCAAGTATGGACGTCCATGTACATGAAGGGGCAAAATACTTTCTCCAGGACAGAACCACAGACGTGATGGTTTTATTGCCCCTTAAGACATTAACCAGCTTCTCAGCAAACATATTTCAGCGTGTCTTTCCCAACTAAATTTATAAATCTCAATCTCTCCAATGTTCTTTCTATCCAGCTTTGTGTTTGTCTGGTTCCATTATGAGTCCCGTCAGTCACTGATGTGATATAAATTATACTTTAGCAGAACCGGAACTCAGAGGCTCTGCCTTGTTGTGTGGCTTTGGGTCAGTCCTTCAACTTCTCCACGTCACATTATCTCACTGGCTACACAGCGAGGACGCCGGTTCCCTGGACTGCATCCGGAGGGGACAAGGACGTCAAAGTACTTCCTAGCATTCACAAGAGCTCAGGTTTTCCTGTGGTCACTAATTGGACAAGGCTATTCTAGGGCTGGAAGGTCTGGGGCCATGAAGGCGGCCTTCTGCAGACTTGGAGCACCCGGCAGCCTGGCGCCAGTTTGCTGCCTAGAAGCCAGTCCTAGATGTCCGAAGGAGGACGAGACTGCATTTAACAATGCAGGTTAGCAGGTCCCTAACTAGTGGCCCCCACAGCTTGGATTCTTTCAAAGTCTCATTTTATTCTGCAGGTGTAGAAATGCCCTTGGCCAGCAGCACAAGTCCACTGCCCTGACTATTGCGCATGGCTGCTGCACGTGGACACACAAACACTCAGAATGACGTCACAACCAGGGATCCAATGAACAAGGCTGGCAGCCAAGGTCAGGCGAACAAGGAGCTGGGCCAGCTGACCCTGAACAGAGGAGGTACGAATCCAGCTGACAGTGGGAGAGGACAGGAAAGGCATTTCTTCCAGGCCCAGGGAGCAGCAGGAGCATTGGCTGGGAGGAGAGATGGAACTCACAGGACGCAGACGAAGGCATACATGGAGCAGGTGAGGCGGCAATGGGCTCACACCGTGCCTGACCTGAAGCGTGAGGGTTAGTGCTCCACTGTTCCTGTGGGGATGGCAGAAAAGGGAACTGGCAAACAGCTGACACCTGCATGTTCCCTGAGGTTCTTACGTCCCCAAGGGGAGACCCTTCCCTCAACCACAGGCTGCACAGGACCAGCTTACTTGTGTCTGCCGTAAATCACCCTCTTCCCTAAGGTGCCTCAGCACCCAGATCTGGGGGGTGACTCTTCCCCACTGGCCTGGCCTTCCCTCCCCAGTCTCCTCTCCAAGTCTCCCTGGTGTGAGCCTGCCTATCTCCTCTGTGCAATTTGTCCTCTCTCCTCCTTCTGGAAGTTACTCATTTCTCCTTATATCCCCTTGGCCCAGCAGTGCCTTTTAAAATTTATTTACTTATTTACTTTAAACCAGCATGCTGCTTTCAAGCCTTCGTGGAAGGAGACAAATACGTGTAAACCTTTTGTTGGACTGAACCTGTCCCCTTAGAACTTGAGCTTTTCTGGGGTAGAGCTCGAGCCCTGTGGGCCCCTGCCTGGAGACCACACCTCTCATTAGGCCTAGCACCAACATACTGGGCACCTAGGTTCCTGCCTTTTGATTGGCAGTTTGGTTACAATCACTTAACCCATGTCTAGCCATGCTGGATTAGTGGCCTAGTCCCGTACAAGCATGGGTTATTTATATTCTCAGCGCCCCTCCTGCTGACCTTGTGACCCACCAGCTCCCAGCCGAGACCAAGATCTGAGGGCCCGACCCCAGCACCCTCGGTGCCCCCTGAGCTTCTTGGTTCACATCACTATAAGACCAAGAACGGAGAGTCTCCACAGGTAAAAAGTTCTCAGTGGCTCCCCTCCCAGCTTTACGCCCAGCTTCGGCTCAGGGACGACTCCTGTTGCCTCCTTTAAAGTCAATCTGAGATCACAGCTCTGGCAAAGGCAAGGCCACAGGTCCGGGAGCTCCAGCGGGCAGCCTCAGCAGAAAGGTCTGCAGGGAACCGGGGCGAGGGAAGCCGATCTTCTCCCTGAGCAGCGGCCAGGTGCCACCTCCAATGGCATACAGTAGCGTGGACACGCGGTTGACAGTGTAGACAGTATCACCGCGCACCGCGGCCGTGAAGAGCGCTCCCTTGCTGTTGACGAACTGGCCCGGCAGTGCAGTCCACTGGCCGGTGACCAAGTTGAGACAGTCGATGGCGCAGTGCAGAAAGTCGTCGCAAGGTCCATTGCGCACCACGTAGAGGTTGTCGCGATGGGCCACCATGCAGTGGCCATAACTCTGCGGACGTCGCAGCTCAGCCACTGGCTGCCATGCGTCGGTCTGCGCCACGTACTCCATGATGGTCGTGGTGTCCGCGGGCCGCCACAGACACATGAAGAGGCGCCCGCACGCCTGGGTGCAGGGCACACCTGCAGCAGGCTGCGGCAGATCGGCCACGAAGCTCCAGCAGCCCGCGGCTGGGTCGTAACGCTCCACGGAGCTCACGGGCGTCCTCTGGAACTCGCCCCCGATGGCATAGAGGCAGCCGTCGAAACCGGCCAGCGCCGGGTCATAGCGTGGCTGGTGCGGGCTGGGGAACTCGCACCATGTGCCGTCATCGGGGTCGTAGCAGAAGCCCAACTCCACCACCTCCTTACTGGCGCCACGCACGCCGCCCACGATGTACAGCTTGTTGCCCAGCGTGGCCACGCCCGCCAGCATCGTGCTGGCCTCCAGGGGCAGCGCGGCCAGCGTGCGCCACGCGTCCTCCTCCTCATCCAGGTAGCACATGGTGCGCGACGCGTCCTCCAGGAAGCCGGGCGCGGGCGTGTGCGTGCTCAGAGCCACGTAGCAGCTGGGCCGCAGGGCAGCCACGTAAGCGCGGGCCTCGGGCAGCGCCAGGCCGGCAGCCAGCTCGCGGGCGCCGTCGCGGATGAAGAGCGCGGCGCTGTGGAACACGTCGTGCAGGCCGAAGGCGGCGGCGGCGTCACACAGCAGCGTGCAGTTGTCCGATGTGAGGCTGTGCTCCAGGAAGCGCGCGAGCGCCGGCGCCTGCAGGAAGGCGGCGCACTCCACGGCCTGCAGCAGCTCGTCCTCCGCCGCCAGCGCCGGCCGCTGCCCTCGCAGCACCTGCAGCGCAGTGCGAAAGCCGTCGGCACTCAGCGCCCCCAAACGCACCTCGGCGGCGCGCGCCTCCCGCATGCCCGAGCGGAAGAGGCCGCGGAAGAAGCCGCAGTGCTCCACCAGCAGGCCCTGCTCGGCCTGGAACAGCTGGCCGCCCACCCACACCTGCACTGGGACCTCAGGACCTTGCGGCATGCTGGGCCGCCAGGGCTGGGAGCAGTGGGCCACCGGCACTGGGGCTCCCCAGTGGCAGAACAACTTCCCCTGGGATATAAATACTTCCCTGGCTAAAGATAGTACGGCTCATGTGATGCAGTGGCCTGCAGGCTGCATGGCCGAGGGCCCGGAGGGCATCTGGAGACCTGCGGGGTCACTCAGGAGAACTAGTGACCCTAGTGACCGGATACTGGGCGCCTACTGCATGCTGGGCACTGCAGCACCGCTTGCACAGATAGCCCGGTTAACTCTCGCCCTGTGCCCTTCTGCAAAGCAAAGATCCTAACTTCCCGCTTTGCTTTCCTTATCTATAAAGGGACACATATTTCACAAGATGGGGCATATCTGCAAAGCATTCTGAACGAGGCTCAGTGTGGGCGGCTCATCCAGGGAGATTCAGAGAGAGGAAGCCAGGGAGCAGGATTAGTACACAACCCAGACCATCGGCTCCGAAGGGTGGGCCAGGCAGAAGTTGAGCAAAACGAGGGACTCAGGGCCAGGGTTCTAGGGCAGCCTGAGTTTCTGGCCCTGCTTCTAGGTGAGCTGGATGCTTTTATGAGCTCAGTACTGTTTGTCAAAGCGTAGGAGTAGCATCCCTGCCTTGCAGGTGAATGACCAGTAAGCTACATGTGCAAATAATCCCTGATGAGATGGGAGTGAGCCGCTAACTTCTGTTGTCTATCTGCCAGGCCCCTTTCTTGCAGTGTGGCTCTACTCTGGACCCCACGAGAGGGAAAATCAGGGGGGCGGAGGGAGGGAGGATGTGCCTGTGAGTGGGAAAAAGCATTCTGGAAATAATAACAGCTAATTTTTTTTTTTTTTTTTTTTTTTGGTGTTACTGAGGATTGATGGGGATTGAATGCAGGGCCTTGGAATCCAAAGCTATCTCCCCAGCCTTTTATAGTTTTAAAATTTATTTTTATTGTTAGACAGGCTGTTATTAAGTCATTAACTTTGCTAGGTTGGGTTTGAACTTACAGTCCTCCTGTCTCGGCCTCCCGGAGAGCTGAGATTGCCCATGTGCCATAGGTTTGCACCATGACACACTAGCTCTGTTTCACAGACGAGGACACTAGGGACCGAGAGGTTTGGTCACATGGCCAGAGAGTGATAGACCTAGGACTGGAAGCAGCCAGTTTGAATCTAGAGCATCAGTGTGAACATCTGTGGTACAGGTGCCCCAGCTGCTGACTGTTATCATTGAAAGCTCTAGAAGGTTCACCATCACTGGTCTAGAGTGTGTGCCCCTGGCCACTGTGCTCTGCTGCCTCCCTGTGCTATGGATGTTGGGCAGTTAGATGGAGCCTTGGACTTGTAGTCACTTACAGGGGGTGGAGGCGGTTGGGTCAGAGGGAAAGACAGTGACCCAGGCCTCCTGCTGCTCAGCCCATGGCAGAATTTTCCTGGGTATTCTGCTAAGACTCTGGGTCCCACAGTGTCAGGTGGGAGTTTATGAGGATGGTAACTGTCATTGTGAGAGGCGGGAGGAGGATGCGCATACCTCATTCCTCCCCCCACCCCAGGACTCACTGCCACAGATGCTTGGTGAATCTGCAGACCCCACTCGAGTGGGGCCGGTATGGGGGGGCTACTTGTCTGAGCCTGGGAAGCTGCAGGCCTGTAGGAGGAGCCAGAAATATCTTCCACTTTCTGCCCCAGGGACCAGACAGGAAGAGGCAGCAGCAACGGAGGAGTGGGCAGGAGTCCCCATGAGGACTGTCCCAGGCCCTCTGCCAGCTTCTCATCTTCCCTGAGGCTGGGCACTGGCTGAAAGGCCTGGAGGTCCAGGCAGCAGGGATGACACCTTCTCTCGGGGACCAGTGCGGTGCTCTGTATTGGCTTAGCAGTGCCAGGTCCCGACTGTGTCCTTGCCAGAAGCTGTAGTGTTGGGGAGAGGCCTACCTGTCCCCAGCTCACAGAAGAAGAGGGGAGACTTGCGGATGGAAGGAGCTTTTCCAGGTTAGGAATGGGGACAAGACGGGACAGAACCCTGGGCACCGACCATTGGACCTGTCCCCAGCCAAACCATGCCATGCCTTGTCACCTGTGCTACTATTAGCAGCAGGCAGTGAGGCCCAGGTCCTGTGGGAGGGCAGGGGATGGGGGCCAGGGCCACAATTCTTGTCCAGATGGTTCATTCTAGTCACCTGGTTGCAACAGGAAGCAACCAGGAGTCATCACCAGACCAGTTCCTGCAGCAAGAGGAGTGCGACCCCTCCCGGTGGAAGTCGGTGTCCGCCTGGCTGCAGGTGTCCCCGTGCCCAGCCTGAGCAGGTGAGTCTGGTGCATGTGCCTGCTCTCTGCCGCACTGAGGTGAGGGGAAAGGGTCACCCAGTGGGGGAGGAGATCACCGAGTGAGCAGGGCTCTGGGGCTGGGGCGTGGTGAGGAGTAAGTAACCTTTGGCCCCATCCAGAGCCCCAGGGCTGCTGCCTGCTGCTGGGAGCCTTTCCTCCTCCCGGCCTCGGAGTGTCCCTCTGGGACTTGGAGAGGACTAGGCAGCATCCTGGCTGTGGTCGGCCCACGGAGTTCCCAGGCCCTGGCGACCCCGAGCTCCCTCCTTCTCCACTGTGCAGTCCCCACGCCGTGCGAGGAGGGGTGAGAGCCCAGGAAAAAAGCCCCGTCAGATCCTGAGCCTTCTTCCTACAGCACAGGCCCAGCCTTGTTCCTTCACAGGGGCAGGGCCGGCACGCAGCAGGGGTCTGTGGAGTGGGACCCCGGGCCTACCCTGGGGAGCTCCTGGTCAGATAGGGACTGACCCAAGGAACCCTCCAGTCCGATGGAGGAGATTGGTCCTGGCTCTGGAAGCCCCTGGAAGGGGAATGGGGAAGCCCCACCCAGAATGAAGTCTCTGCCCATGGGGTAATGAGTGGCTTGCACTGTCTGCACCTGGAGAAGGAAGAGTCCTGGAAGAGTCAGAATCCCTGCCAGGGCTCTGTGTGTATGCGTGCACATGCCTGGAGATTGAACCCAGGGTCTATACCCTGAGATATTCTCCCAGCTCTTTAAAGTGTTTTGTTTTGTTCCAGTCCCTAAATTACACAGACTTGGCTGGAATTCGAAATCCTCCTGCCTCAGCCGCCCAAGAGTGCTGGGATTGTACTGTATGCCATGACACCCAGCTCTTGCCTGGCCTTTCACTTGGCTTGTAAAAGCTCCCCAGCCCCTCCATACTTCCATACTGCAGTTCTTGCATCTGGAAAGTGGAGTTTGGAGCTGACTTCTAGGATTCTGTCCAACTTTAACATATGAATTTATCATCAAACCAGCGCTGGAGTGGTTGCCCTGTCTCTAGGAAAGGCGGTGACATCGTGAAGGGCTTGGACAAGCTAAGCTTTCCTGGAGTGGCTCCCGGATGCACCTGGGACCTGGCATCAGGAGGGCCTCACAAAACTGCAGTTCACACAAGAGACAGATACCTGCTGCACACCCTGCCCTTCCTTACCGAGTAACAGCCTTGGTGGCCTGGGGGTGGAGAGCAGAATCCAGCTGCTGACCCTAACAGAATGACCTTTCTTCTGAGCCTAAGGCCCCAAACCTCTGCTCTAAGCTGCTGCCCACGGAGTTCTTGGTCCGTGGCAGAGAGCTGTGTGCTTTGGGTGCAGATGGAGCAGGGGGAATTCACTGCTGCTTCTTGGGGCCCTGAGCCAAGCTCGGTGTAGCACGGCCTTGTTCCTTAACTCTTCACAATCTTTTGCAGATGAGGAATTGAGGTGCAGAGTGTGTCCCCAGATCTCTGGTGACACTGATTCTCTCTTCCATGTCCCCACTGGGATGCAGTCTGTCTTCACTGGACACACACAGAACAGGCACAACCTTGGGGCTGGAACTTGGCTTCCACTTTCCCAACTCTTACAACTCAGAGGAAAACGCTGGGCCATTGGCTGTGTGAGCAGCTCTGACCTAGAGTGTGATGGAAACCAACTCCTTGGGGTACCTTAGAGTCTTAATAATGCAGCTGTTGTACTGTGATCACCCAAACAAAATTCCATACAAACACAATTCATGTCCAGTTCAGGAAGCCAGTTTTCCTTCTTGTGACCACCCTGTGCGGGCCCGGGCTGCCTTGGCTTCTCTTGTGGAAAGGAAATTGGCCATCTGAGGGACAGGGGACGGGGAACGGGGGTAGTGAGGCTCCTGTCCCCTTCCGGGCTCCAACCTGGAGTGTTTCCCAGAAGATGGGGCTGTCACTCTCTTAGGCCAGAGTCACATCATGGCATTTTAGATTGATTTCCCTTCACCTGTTGTTTTTAAAGTTGAGGAAATGAGGGGACTCACCCAAGGTCACCCAGGGGAAAGCGCACACACTAGATCCAAAGGGCCTGTGCTCTCGGTGAGCCCCCTCTCGGTCTCCAGCACCATTTACACAGCAGCCTGCTGCCTTGCAGCTCATTAGCGCCCATCAGGAGAAACAGTAACCCGGGTGAATTAGGTGTCTGAAAGCTGAACCCGTATTGGCCACGAAGCCTTGGCAGGGACGCTCTTCTCCCCTGTTCGCAGCAGCCTGGCTTTTGCAGTGATGCCAGAGCCCCTACACCCAAGGGCCAGACTCGGGTGTAGAGGGCCAAGGGTGTGAGCTAAAAGCTCCAGACAGCAGAGTAGAGCTGGGCGTCTTCCCGGAGGAGGAGGAAGGGCAGGTGGGTGGTGGGACAAAGGAAGGGGTGAGTTTTCCCGCTGCTGGGAAAAGACCGAAGGAAAGGCTGGAAACAACTGGGGTCGCCCTGCCTGAAGTCCTTGGCGGACGCCGGAACCCCCTGTCTGCGCCGGGGCGGGATGAGCCCTTAAAAGGAGCTCGCGGGCTCGGCCCCGCCCCGCCCCGCGGCGGGAACGCAGCGCGAGGCTCGGACCTACTCGGGTCCGCGCGGGGTGCGGGGCGCGGGGTGCGGGGCGCGGGGCGCGGACACCGACGGGCACGCAGCTGGGGCGCTCGGTGTGACCCCGGGGCGCTCTCCGCGGTCGCCATGGCCTCGGTGTTCGGAAAGCCCCGCGCCGGCAGCGGGCCTCCGAGCGCACCCCTGGAGGTCAACCTGGCCATCCTGGGGCGCCGCGGGGCGGGCAAGTCCGGTGAGTGGGACGGGGAGCCGTGGTTTTGGGGCTCGGGGTCCTCCGCTGGCTTTGAAGGCTTCCATGCACAGCCAGACCCGATAAGCCTCTGTGATTTTTCTTCTTTGCCTCAGTTTCTCCATTGCTGGTGTTCTCAGCTCTTCCGCGCTTGCGCGCAGCCCCTCGGCCTGGTTCTGCGCCTC